AGGGCAAATCTGAATTTCAATGAATACCTGCTTTATGATCGTCAACTTCTCCCAGGCCGTTGTGTGGATTTTTCTATTATTCTCCCATTTCAAAGAGGAAAAACGTCTCTCTCATAACCACAAAACTACGAAGTACGCAGTCAAAAGAAGACGCAAAGCAGTTGTAACACTTGGATCAAATGTTTGATTTTAGACGTTGTGAAACGTCTCAAAATAAGAGTAACTCTTGAACTAAAAAAACGATCCTAGGAACACTTAATTTTCATGGTTTAACATCCCGCGCTTCAACCTGTACACACGTGTGTGAGGCTAGTCCATTTGCTAATGAACTGTCTCTCCGAAATGTTACCATCTTTTAAGTAACCACTGTTTTAATCACTTTAAAAATGAATTGTCTTTACCATTTCTGTTCAACATCTTGGCAGCCAAGGTCATCTCCCTAAAATTCTGTTTTTATTTTCTAGTCCAATTTTACCCATTTTAAGATTTTACCCACTAATAAACGGCTGTTAACATGCGTCATGCGTGAGATAATGTTCTGTTGTTAACAATTACGCAACTCCTCCTCGTTTAAGGAAAACTTTTGAAAACGTTTTATTGTCATCCGTAGGCATATGCTGTAGCTCTAAGGTGTATTGTTTTTCTCGTGTTTTCGCTATTAAGTAAGAGAGTAAGCGAATCATTAGTACCCTACAACAGGGGCACCCTTGCTGCCAAGAGGCAACTATTACATAATGTATACCTAATAATGGTTTTACTGTAGGCAGGTATTATTAGAACTGCATGCTTTCAATTTTATTAACATAATCTTGCCTTTGTATTTGCTGGGAACAATTCGTGCACCTACATAGAAACTCAAGTTTTATTCAGCTGAGAAAAAACCTTAACTGACAGTGCCACAATGGTAATAGAGCCAGCAATATCTGTAAACGTCTTGGTATTATCACTGTGTTATAATAAATAATGTTCTCCTTGTGTACAGAAAGGATGCTATGTGAACAATGAGTAGTAATGACTCGCAATTCATGCCTAATTTCTATTCACCTCAAGGCTGCCACTGGGTGTAACAATGTTTAATGATTTTAACTCACTGAACATTTAAAGCTAAATTTCACTTAACTCGAAAATACAAGTACTGAAGCACTTCCCTGTTAAACAATAATAGTTTTACTTACTGTTTACTTACTATTAGCTTAAAATAGTATAGCATATAAATCAATAAACTTCTCTGCAATGAAAACCAAACTCTACAATGAATGTGATCTAATCCCTTCAGAAAACTATGCCGAATTAGGTCCTGTTTCCTGATTTTTTAAGATAGACAATTTATATAGGCGCCTGTCCATATGCTTTCTGTTAAATCCTCCTGTTTACCCCTGCACTACATGAACTGATAGGGTTGAAGGCATGGTGTATATCTTAAGCGTCAGTCTCCATAATTGTGCATTAATTCTCTCTCTCTTGATGTTGGATGACTCAGCAGTTCTGTGCCATTTATAATGCTCAAAGCCCACAGAAGCATACATGTGGTGTGCATCCTCCCGCCACACCAGTCATGCTTTGAGCTTGTGAACTTCTCTGCCTTTACTTGATTTGTGGGGAGAAAAAGGACATGAAATCCAAAGAAGTCAAAAATCCAGCAACCAAGAAACCATTTGTTTCTGAAAGGTGTTGTACAAATACCGTTAATCCTGTTTTTCACTTACGTTTTACTGAAAATCCTGATTATCACCTAATTTAAAAAAAATACCATTCTAGTTTTCTCTTTTCATTCACCCTTACGGTGCGTTCACACATGACAATTTTATATGCAAAGTAGAGTAACAGTCAACACGATTGTAATACTGAGTCATAAAGCCTAATCATTTTTTTATGCAGGTACTGAAGCTATCATTTAAGACCTTCTTTTGTTTACATCTGGCTTTGTAAAAGCTGAAATGCCTCAGAAATGCTACTTTTACTGCCAAATATAAACTGACAAGTGTATAGCAGATCAAAAAATAAAATCCTTGTAATCCATAGCAGTTACTGACAGAATGTATTTCAAGCAATAATTGCCAGTCTTAAATATGCTGTATGCGTAAATTATAGGCTTTCTATTTTTAAGTGGGTGCACAAGCTAGATACCATACAAGCTAAATTTACTATTTAACCCCCTGAATACTATGTACATAAACACACAAAATTAATTTAAAACTGCTTTGCAACCTTTTCTGATTTTTGCCAGGAAACCATGCTGTCAGCCATCATTAAATTTCATTTTGAGCCATAATCTTTCTTTACAGGCCTGTTGACTTTCTCAACTGACCCAAGCCCATGACTTGAGAGCCCCTGTCTTAATTTAATCCACTATTCTAGCATGAATAGTACCAAAACAAATCTCTCAGAGCCGAGTAAGCGAAACAATATTTACTTTTTACCACACAGAGACATTAATCCGTCACTAGTGAAACATGTACCTTTGGTATCCGTTTGCTTACGTACTTGCTTTCAGAAGGCTTTTTTTGTATCGACACTTCTGAGCCTTTGACAAAGGTTACCACCTGGTTCCATATTTCGAAAACATTTTGAGACAGTTCAGTTGTCTTTAACCACAAGGTCTTTCACAATGACTGTCTTTGATGCTTCATATAGGATAGCAACGTTCATCAGTGGTTTCTTCACTCATGACTGAACATTGGGGAATCATTTGAAAAGACTTTACAAACTGTTTTGTGTTGTTGAATTGAGTGGGGTCTGTCACTGCAAACTAAGGCTTGCTGAATGTTGAGATAAGAAGAGAAACACAAAAAATGTGTAACCACAGAAATTTTAAGTAAACCAGCCACATCTCGAAGCTTTGTAGATTTAAGAGTATGTGCTTTTGGTAAAATGTAAAACAAGATGAGTAAAACAGTTTCTAAAATCCTTTCTGAGTTTCTGATTTCATACTTTTATTACGATTTTTCTTAATATTCCTCTATCCACTAATTGAACCATACAGTATATTAAATAAATATATTACATTATATAAATTATTAGTTATTTATGCCTCTATTGATAATCATGCTGTATTTGTACACAAAGCACTCCTGTAAATGTCTGGATTTTGTACTCCAGGCATAGAAGCCTTGGGGAAAACAATATTTTGATAGTACTTTTACCTAAGGCAGGGCTCTGTGCAATGAATAAGCACTAAATTTAAAGTGTCAAGTATGAGTAGTATGCACTACCTCTTTAAATTAGAGTAGGACAGACACTAATGAAGCAATCAAAGAAGGAACAAAAATACTGAGACTGCTCAAGCTGTTTCTTCAGTTGTTTAATTGTGGGTGCTTGTCTTTCCGTCTTCGATTGACATAACAAAGAAGGTTTCACGCATCACAAATTTCTGGTATCTAACATTTACAGCAATGTCAGTCATGTGTTTAGGCAATCTTCATACTAGTGACACCATTAGCCAATAAATATAATTTTACCTAGATAAGATCCATATCTACATGTTGTTTTAATTGGTTAGTGTGTATTAGAAAAGGACATAATGTTAAATCTTTCTGTTCTGCTATATTGTGTAAAAAATATATTATTAACTGCAAATGAATTTGGCTGAAGAAGCCTATCAAATTCTGTAAAACAAGGAATAATGCTTCTGAAGGTGATATTATAAATAGCCACCAATGTTGCAGCACATTGAATAAGGACACTCAAAGATTTCCTTTTCAGTTTTATTTGTAAATGTATTTCACGTAGAACAAAGAAAAATATATACTGAATTGTTATGTTATGTACATTTGTTTACAGTTTACACTAAAAATTTACACAATCACAGACTTAAGATATGTTATTAGAAGATTTTTTTCACATAGATGTAGCTACAGTATATACAGTTTGCTTATTTACATACATTCATAGGATGTGAGAAATACCTGTTATTACAAGCATTTTATATATTAATTTCAAAATAAAATGGAATGAATGCATTGCTATACGACAGAATGTACTCATGCTTCACCATGAGTACAAATATATTGTATACTGTATATAGTATGCCAGATACATATATATGTACATATAGACCATACATTACACACAGAATTGCTGTGTTTTATTTCAGGGCCATATAGGAAAAATACAGACTATACACGTTTCATTATATCCTTAACACTCTACACCCACACATGGCATTATACAGTATAACGAGGCTGGTGTCTTTGAGACCTTTAGCACCCATGTGTTCCAGTTAGTGTTGGCATCTACAAAAACATAGCCTCGTACCAAAGATCTCACAATAGAAAAGCACTGTACAAAGGCTGATAGGTCTTCTGGTAACATGTTTTGACGACTTGAGGCAGATTTGTTTCTGTATAGATACATAATCCCACATCTGCGAAGCTGCATAATCCTAAACTCTTGAAGCCTCGGTTTTCTTTTCTTTGAAAACAAACACATTTAAACTGATAGCATTTTTTTTTAAAAGCTGAACTAACACATTGGCCCCAGTCAAGGATGTCTCGGATTCCTTTGCGTTAAGGCCTGACAAATGTCCGTCACACTGTTTTCATTCCAATATCCCGGCTTCTAGAGCCAGCGACATAAAGGAAAAAAGCTATGTTTTCAAAAAATAAAAAAACAAACAAGAATATCTTTCTGTATTAATACCCAAAAGGTCTGATATATCATTTAAAATATAAAAACCAACATGTACATTTACAGTAAATAGGGTTCTTTGTTTTCAGTTTTTCAGTGCCTACCTGCCTTTTAAATGTTTCTGAGCCAGTGCAGTTAAAACTCAGATATTGATTGCCCCGAAGCTCAATTGTTTATAGTCTATAAATATAAGGATCCCTTTCCAGGTGATATGCCACTGAAAAGAAAGGCATCCAATGCACATACTAGACTAGTGTAAATCTGTTCCTACCTTGTATTTCTTCACCTTGATTTGTTTATTCATGTTTATAGTATTTTTATACACATTTTATTACATTCCATGAATTATACACAAAGCAAAGCAAATCTAGGTTAAACAATGTAAAATAAATACTTCAGCTGTTGTTGTTTTTTCCAGCAGCTATGCAAGGCTGAGACCTCCAAGGAAAACAAGGATGCTGCAGTAAGTGGAGCTGGTGGACCAGTAGGTGGCGCTCTTTATTTTGGAAAAAAATGCAAAAAAAAACACTGCCCTAGTGTGAAGAGGGAACTTCCCTAACTACTGGGACGTTAAAGATGCCATGGTACTGCTTGCAGAAGAAGGTGTGCTAACCACGTTATCCTAGCTTAATTTCATTTTGAGCTTCCAGAGTCCTGGCCTACCTAAAGTCCTCCATTAATTCCGTCAGGAAAGTCATTTCTCATATCTCCACCTGATCTGCTGTGTTCTGGGGCTGCTGGTGCTGAATGGCCGACCTAGCGTTGCTTGAGTCCTCTCCTACGTGATTTAATTACTGTGGAACACAGCTTCAAAGGCAGGCACACAAACGAAATGAATTCTTGAAACAAAGAACACTATACTCAAAAGCACGTTTTCTTAAGATTTTGAAAAGAAAAACCAAAAAAAATGTACTCTGAAACTAGCTCAGGACACAGCCTTTTGAAGTATTATCAAGTAACAGTGTTTTTGTTTTCGCTCAATAGACAATAAATTATCACAGTACCACAAAGAAAGGATTTAGTTCTCTGTCTCACTCATATGCACACACTCACGCTGTTTTCCTCTGCTTGGCTTCTGTCCACAGTAAAGCTATCGGGGTCAGTTTGTTGTGCGTACTGTCCGGCTGCTTCGGGGAAAGCGGTGGACTTTGATGTGTTTGGACAGGTGATCGCTGCGGGCGAATTTCTTCTCACAAACAGGGCACTGATAGGGCTTGACTCCAGAATGAGACCGGCGGTGTCTGGAGAGCTCATCCGACCTGGAAAACCTGATAGAAATAAGAGCAAACATTTAAATATGCCGGGCAATTCTCAAATTTTGTACACCCCAGCTCTCTATATTTATTATATTCCAATATTTCCCAGAAAATAACTGCATTAAAACTACAGAACACTAAAACTACTACAGCAAAGGATTGCAGAAAATACAGGAAAATAGTAAGTGAAGAACAGAACAAAATCTAAATACCACTAAAAAGAACAGGATTTCAATTAAACATAGTCAATAATTCACTTTTTCCTATAATTCTATTCTTCCCATGAATTAACTGCATCTACATATGCAAATCTACAGTATTTAAAGATTCACAACAAATAGACTGACTGAATCAAAAAGAAGGTGTTGGGTGAACTTTGTTTAGAAAAATAAATGACCTAAAAGGAAATTTTACTAAATTTCCAGTGACCACTCTGTCCAAATCATTTTCTATTTTGTGCTTTAAAAAAATAAAATAGGGTTGTATTCATTAAATAAAAAATGTATCCCTCCTCTGTAATTGCTATATGTGGATTAGACCATAACCCTTTACACTCAACACCTCAGGCAGTTGTACAGTACATATATCATCATCCAATTACCATCGTGGTATTTTATTGTACTGTATGCTGGACCATTACAGTTCAAAGTTGTGAAGTGAAACTTTGAAAAACTACAAATACGTGTACTGCCTAAGAAGCATATCCATTAGTCATTTGGAAGGGAGTTTATGAAATTAAATTTGAAATACCAGGTTTCGTGAATTTTCCCACAGAAATGTTACTGCATTGTATTGGTTTAAATTTGGATAATGTTGTGTTGGATAATTTAAAAAACAATCATCTGAGGTGAGGTGCTGGCAAAGCAGAATTCTTCCCAGATAAGAACAACATTAAAGCATGCACAATGCAGATGAAGAGATAAGAATATATTTAAAATGTAATCAATCTAAGATGCAAGTTTTCTGTGATCCTCATAGTCCTAATTTTAATATTAAAGACTAAATGTGCACACTGCTATTTAGTGCTGCAGCGTCACAGATCCTGGGGCCCTGGGTTTAATTCTGTAAAGGGGTGACGTGTAGTTCTCTTGGTCTCAATGTTCTCTTGGTCTCTGTGTGAGTTTTCTCCTGGTTTTCCTGTGTTCTCTCACCTTCCAGAGACAAGCTGGCTAGCATAACTGGTGTCTGTAAATTGTCTCCTTGTGTGTTTGTGTCCTGCAGTGAACTGGTGACCCATGCTGGGTGTAGTCCTGCCTTTTAGCGTTTTTGGAATAGGCTCCAAAGGCTGTGGTACCAGGCACAAGTAGCTTTGGGATGGATGGTTGGATGGTTAATTTAGTGCCATAACCAACATGTCCTAATAAAGCTGAATACTAGGTTTTGATTCAGCTTATAATTCACTGGTTTTGTGCATGTTAAGCTATACACACATACCCACATAAGCACGTGTGTACGGACACACACACACCATACTGTTAATATTTTGACTGTGACTCAATTTTTACGGATTTTCCATTTGCTATTGACATTAACAAACATAACAACTTCAGAAATAGCCATGATTAAATGTAAAACAAGAAACAATAAAATACAATATTTTTAATTTAACTAGTTAAGCAGAAAAATAGATAGTATCTCTGCAATTTATACTACCAAATTACTGAACAAAGTCTGGAAAACATGGACAGCTCTTAATCCTATTATCACTACACTAACCATATGGTCATAACTGGATACTGGGATCTCAATGTGCTTTTCACTTTACCTTCCTTCCAATTGATAAATAGGAGGATTAAATTCTGCACACTGCAAAAGAGGTCTTTGAGAATGAGAGCAGGGAGTAACATTGTAATGTATTACTGAAATCAACACAGATATCTAGGTTTAGATATCTGATAAAGGTTACAATGACTGTCTGTAATGGGATGCACACACAAGGACAACTGGACACCATGGACACCAACTGACCTAGCCAGCATGTCTTTCTGAGATGAGAAGAAACTTGATGTGGAACAGTGTTAAAACATGCAAACTGCACACAGATTGTGTCCTGGTCTAGAATCGATCCCAGGATACAAGAGTTGTGAGGCTGCAGTGCTAACTACAATGCCACCATCCCACCACACCTCCCACATGAATACAGTGATAAAAATAAAAACCTGCTTGTTAACCTGCCTAAGACTCAATAATGAAGTACTATAATGTTGCTATGAATATCTAAAAGAAACATTGGGCCACCTAATGTAGTTGCTTCCATACACTTTATCTAGAAATCTAGAATAAAATACATACTGTACTTGTACCAAGTTCAGAAAACTGTTTTTGCCCTAATTTCCTTTAGTAAACGCTGAAACAAAAATTGTTCCTGTTGTTTATTTATAAAGCTGTTCCAATATCTGGTTTAGGCATACATATTTATTTGTAGTTCACTTGGCTCCATTTCAGTTCTTGAGATACAGAAACACTTTTTCCACATCCTAGAAGTGTACCTTTCCATCGTATTTCCTCTGGCTTGAACTTGGCTATTCTTTATGAGACATCTCTTGTTACTTTCTTTACATAGGTGCTCAGTGATGTCTTTGTATCTAAGCTAAATTTCAAAATCAGGAAATATAAAGTAAATTGCTTCTGATGCTGAATGTACAAATCACACTTTTAATGGCTAAATATTGTTAATTGCTTTCTTGAGCCTTTCTCAGTAGTGAGGGTAGAACATCAATAAGAAACCCAATCCTTTTTCTCTTTTGAAGCAGATCTGCAGTGCTGGCATGCCAGCAGAGGGGTCATGGTAACTATTCACTAGGTAGTCTTTGTTAGTTACATTTGCTAGACAGTTCCTTCCAGCACAACTGTGTGCAACACTGAAATCGTTCATTCCCTCTCTCTCACCAGTCTCTGCTCCTGAGACCCATTGTGTTTTGACAAGTCTACTTTGTTTGTGGAAGATTCAGGGCTAAACAAGTATTGGTGGCATTTCTTTCTGGTACAGCCACATGTTATCAGAAGACATTTGCAGCATTAAAAAACATATATGAAATATATAAGCTCATTTTTAAATAAACAGAAATGAGACAAAAAACACAATTCCAATGAGTTCATTAAGCCCCAAAATTGCACAATTCAATCTAGATATTGTTATGTTTTAGGAGAGACATCAATTAACATTCACATTAAAAATCAGTACAGTACATGTTAAAAAAACTTCCAATCTTGAAAACAATATTAAGATATTTTTATTTACAAGTGTTGATTTGTTCCATCTGTGTTTATTATCACTTGTAAAAGACTGAAAGCATGATAAATACTGGTTGATGATTGACTGCCTATGCTTGTTAAATTAACTTGACTCAAGCACACTACAAACAATTTAACTGATCTGAATGTAGAAATGTGCTAAGATACAGGGCACCAATATGCAACAAAAAAATCAGAAACCCAGTGGTTATTGGTGTGTAATTTATTATGCATCCTACAATTTGCACTTTGGATGTACAGTAGTACTATATTTTGCCATAACTACTGTACTGTAGTTTGGCACCACTATTTAGTGAACATAAAAGGCAAACTGGGAACTAAGATACCATGACCTTAATAGGACTTTTGAAAACAGGGCAAAAGTCTTGTACTTGACACTTGACCTCAAGCAATTAGAATGCATGGGCTAGAACTGCACAATCCTCACATATCTTACTGCATACTGCGTAGCAGAAGGTCAAGAGGCCCAGCTTTGAAGAAGACTTTGAAGATATCCATTACAGACAAGCACTAAAGCCTGAGGATGAAAAAGGTAATAGCTCACATGGGTTAAAAAAAAACCCTGCATATGAGATTGGAGAACACCTTTTAAATTATTTTAAATGCTAAGACTAGTTAACAAGATTTTTTTTTAATGATGATAAGATCAATGGTATTCCTAAATTCCGCACAGTATAAAAGAGGAAGGCAAGATGATTGTGACACATTTGCTGAAATATGATCATTTTCATTTTCATCCAAGACCAGACACAGCTGGGCTTTCCAGTTGGCCACAGGAGTGACACAGTTGTTTCTGACAAAGCCCATACCTACATGCACTGCTCAAGACAGTGGGGGTCACCACAGTCAGTCAGGGGCTCAATCAGGATTTGAAGTACAGTACAGCCTCTGGGCTATAAGGCCCATTCTATACTGTAAGTGCAGGCTTTTACTGGATGAGTGCTTTGTCATTGTTGTGATGGTATTCTGATTGATCTTGGTAATCCTATATAATTATAAGAAATGTAATATTGCTGTACACTACAGAATCATAGAACACTGCTCACCAGCAATCCTGCAGGCTTGCACTATATGGTAAGTGTGTTACAGCCATGCTTCTGAGAAGCTGTGAGAAAGCAATTTGGCTCATTTCCTGAAGATAACCATGGGAACGCAGAACACATCACTAGAAAAATGCAGATGGAATAGCACTGCCACTGTCTAGCATTTATTTCCATTTCCTGTACTAGAAGAAGGCTTTTATGTTTTATTCAAGGGAAATACCACTTTAATACTGTACCTTGCAACCTAATATCTTAACAGATTTTGGGAAGATACTCCCAAGTAATTAGTAGGATAAATCATCATGTGCTCAATACATCATCCTGAAATAGTTTTTAAAAATTATTTTAAAACACTGATTTTGCTAACACTTGAAGTCTACTGTGTATGGAATACAGGACCGCTCAAGTAAGCATAGTTTTCCATTGCTGTATAAGAGCACTGTACAATGTGGAATGAGCTACTATCTCCCTTTTCAAAAAATAAACCTTATCTAGTGCATCTCTGCTTCTCATAACATTCACTTCAACATGGAATATATATTTGGTTTGATTTTATTGACAAGCATAGAATTTAGCAACATTAAAGTACAGGTCACACAGGAGGAGAGCAAATTATTTGGCAACAGGTTATCATTAGCTCTTTTGGATAAAAAGTAACAACATATTGACTTACATGCAAGCCTTAAAAACATTGTGAAAAACTAAAGATAGAATTTGAAAAAATACTCCAGTTCGCTAAAAAATGGGTGACATTAATGAGACTGAGGTGCCACTTTGCTGGAACTAATTTATTTCAGATTTATTTTATAAGTTTATTCTGATAAATTACCAATCTTTCATTTCAAAGATTTCAGCAGACAGTCAAGAACCTTGACCAATGGGTTCTTAAAGACACTCAAGTCCTGTTAAGACACTAATAGTTATGTGCAGACCTTAAGTGAGAGAAAATACTTTGAGAAAGGCCATAAAAGAACAAGCAATCAAAAAAAGGTAAAAAGATTGTGATTCTGTCCAGCACTATCTACCCTTCTGGAATTTTCTGTGATTTATATTGTCCCTCACGAGTACAGAGTGCTTCTGGAAAATTCTACTTCAGGTTTCTACCAAATGTAGTCTACTAACAAAACTGATGAAATCCACTCAATGCAGAACAAACAGGTATCCTCCTTTCTTTTGTGGCAGCACAACCTTTTCAATTTGCTGCTAACACTGTTAACCTTTCTCTTAATTCTAATAGATTAAGTGTTGTAGACTGATAAAATGATTTAACGGAACACTCCTAATTACGTACATAATATCTTGAGCAGCTGACTGAATACAACAAGTTCTACATGCAAGTGGTAACATAATGTCAGGCCATGAAAAACTGGAATGAGCCAAAAATTGTAGGTTGTTGACCTATTTTTGGTTAACATGGGACTATGAGTAAAGAAATAACTGTTATTATAATGCTAATTGTATAGAACAAGGATGACCAAATGTGTTTAGGGCTGCAATGTTTTTTTAACCTCTGAGCTCTAAGCTATTTAACCTGGTCACAGTTACCTACAGAGCTCCACAGGATTTAGTATTCCAGTAACAGGTTCTGGCCAGCCATTGCTTAGAACTATGTTGTTTTTATTTCAAGAAGACAAGTAAGAATTCTGATCAGTGAATGCACTGTATATTCAAATACTAACCTCCAGCCACAGCCAGGCCATGTACAAGCAAATGGTTTTTCTCCTGTATGCCTCCTCAGGTGAGCTTTCAAATGGCTGCTCTTGGTGTACATCTTGCTACACCCAGGGAAAGTGCATTTGTGCATTTTGATAAGATCCGCGGCTGGGTTCTTCTGAAATTTCTGGCCCATGAGGATGGTCGACTGGCTCCCATCTCCCACTCCCACTGGTTTGGCTGCGATTGGGACAGGAGCAATGCGGACAAACTTGGACGATGTGCTGAAGCTGGCGGACTGCACCACCTGGGGCACCAGCGCAAAGGTTTGCCCTTGGATGTTGACGAGAAGCTGGGCAATTTTAATGTCCGACTGGGGCTGGTGCTGTGCGGCCACAGCGGGGCTTTGCTCCTGCTTGATTTGGATAGGCTGGATTTGAAGGATTACCGGAACCCCACCATCAGCTGACACAGGCGAGCTGGCAACTTCTTCCTTTTTCACGGATTCTCTCGACTGTGCGCTTTTTGTGTCGGTGAGAGTCACGCTAGATCCTGTTTGGTCTTTGTGCTGGGCTGCAGATATGACATGGCTGCCCCCTCTGCTACCCTTGCCCTGCTCTTCAGGCTCCTGCTTTAGAACAACCTCCATGTTCTCTTCCAGGAACTCTTCAATCTCCTCTAAGGTGGGCTGGAATGTTCCCGGGTCCTTCAGGTCCGTGGAGAAGACTGGAAACTCAAATGTCTCTTCCTTCACGATCGATCGGGAATCCTTCCTGTCCCATGAGAATCCAGGAGTTGTCCCCAGGTCGATCTGGGCCAAAAGATAGTCTACAAAGCTGTCCTGGCTCTCCACACTGGAGTTACTCCCATAACTAGAGCTGAGCACCTGAGAATCCGGGCTGGAGCAAGAGCGAAAGCTGGAGGAGTCACTGAGCTCATCCTCCGAGAAGGGGGATGGGAGAAGCTGGTAGTTACTGGTATCCGTCACCATGTCAGCGAGGTAGCCCACCGAAGAGCCAGTGTGTGGGAATGTCTCCTCAGTGGGTAATAAGTGATCCACCATTCCTGGCTTCTAAGGTCTGTAGTCCTTCTCTAGGCTAACCAACAGGAGCCAGGCACTTTCCAGCAAAATGTTTTCTGACTTATCCCCAACTGTGCCTAAAGAAAGACGACAGCAATTAGCTTCAAAACAGTTTACTTCCCGTACACTTGGGAGCTGTGAATCATATGTATTAATAAATATGCTTATTGTGCAAAGATTCAGAAACTTAACTTTTAACTTAATTGATTTTTTTAAAACATATAACTTAGGCATTGTGTGTACAGGCTAGGAGAAGCTAAAAATACACACTTTGTACCTAGGCAATTAATCTCCTACGTAAATGTATATTCTTTAATAGAAAACTCATAGTTCAGTTGCACCTAATGCTGTCATATCATGGGAAAAGAGAATAAAACATAGCTGTATTCTGTGTTACTGTTCATAATTTATCTCCCATTTAAAAAGGTGCTACATCTGTAAATGTAAATGTTAATTTCCAATTATAGGACATAGGACATAACTAACAGCTATTCAGCCATAAGACGTAACCTGTGTATGATGTGGTACAGTGATTCATATCACAGAAATGAATTCATGTTTTTTACGTTTGACGTCTTACAGGTTTAGAAACAATCTTATAATCACTTTCTATAATGCCACTAACTCATTATACAGTATACTGTACTTCGGCACCTTAGTTACTGTGTCAACTTTCATCTTGAAGGAAAAACTAGAAAATAAGCCCAACCAAAATAATTCAATACCTTTAAGAAATTGTGTAAAGCTAATTGATTTTACTCATGTGATCTCTGAAGATAATAATACTATTTATAGTAATAGCATTAACAATATGTCAAACACACCCTCTAATGTGGTTCAATGGATGCACAAAGGTGCGTGATCTCTGGACAAGGTGGTTACCTCCCAAGCATTATAATCATAAATTACATTGTAAAGATGAAAAAAGGGCAAATACTTTTAATGCGAAACTGCTGCTGAATAGGAGATTTGAAGAACAACAGTGAAGCTTTGGCAGAAAAGCTTGCGGTACAGGGGAAAAAAAATGTTGGCAGAAAACTGATCGCGTGGTCTTTTCATGGGTGAAGTTAAAAGGCACTTGAAAAAAGTAAACTTTAACGAGCCAGCCTGGAGGCGTGTTAACATGTTAATCTGCACAAACCTTTTATCTATGTGCTGTCCACGTACCACCGTTACGTGAGGTAATCTTCCATTACAACAAACACACTCGCATTTTAGGAACATATGCAGTAGTGGACAAGGTCGAAAGGGGGGTGCACGTGACTTTGGACAAGCACTTCAATCGAGCAACATTCATTTGCAAGTCCATTAATACGGGCATCGTTTCGACCTACTTCTGTACCTGAGTCCGCTTGTTTTGCTCTTGCGCTAACAGTGACGTTGGCATGATAATATCATCTTTATTAACAGCCGCGACACTCAGTAGGACAAGCAGATTGAAAATGGATCGTTACTGGTATTACTAAAAGTCATCCCAAACACGACTTCAAAATTCAAATTATCTTGAGATTGATATTTTTGACGTTCTTTTTCCCCCTCATTCGCTATTGATTCTGTACCCGCATCCATTTGCGAAGAGGTGAGTATGTTATTGAAAAGACTTCATACGGTGAGGCATTGCTCCCGAGAATTACAATCCAACAGTTCGAAGAAATGGAATGACAAATTATTTTCACTAACATGACCTTTGCCGAGGGTTTAACAACACATAAGCTCCGTGTTAACATTAGGATGTCTACCTATGTTATGCTGCCTCTTTCGGGATAATGAATGGTTCTGATTGTGTCAAGTTTCACGGATTTGCGCCTCCCTTCTTTGGCCTCAGCTCTTACATTGACCGACAGTAACCCTAGCAGAGGCACTGTCAACATTATTAGCATAACATACCGCATGTGGCATGCATGACCACCAAATGCCTTTTATAGGAGATAAAACATCTAAACTCTAAGCAAATAACTAAAACCTACAACCCTGCTCTCCCAGTGACGGTCCGATCAAGTAAAGCATAAAACGCATAGCTACATTATTCCGCACGAAACGCAATAAACTCTTCAAGTCCATTTCCAAATACAAAACTTTACATTTGCTTTAAACAGGACTGGGTCAAATATGTTTCCCTTGTGAACCGTGTCGTGGTATCACAGAACAGAACTGAGGAGGTTACTGAACGTCTTTAGTTTCCGTCCCTTAAGTATTATGAAAATGCCGAGAAAAGGCGAAAAACACCAAAGACATAAATCACCTACACACGGTGCCCATATTCAGCTTCGCGAGATTGAAACGCTTTAAAAAAACAAATAGACCATATTATTGCACCTATGAAGAAAATGATGACTTGTAATTTATCTTAAGACACAAATCGTTTATAAAACCGAGCTAATTTTACATGCACTCTTTAAAAAAAAAAACAATTTCACGAACGCATCTCCCTCGGTTTGCGCATTTTTTACTGTACCTTACAGAGAGAGAGGCTGGTGCAGACTCTCCGCTGCCAAGAATGTAAACATGTTTTCGTCAGCCACACAGCATGCAGCCCTGAGCTTGTGCAGAACTCGCTGAAGAAGGGTTTCGAGGTAAAGGCAATATTTTCATACAGTAATCCTCGCCATTCTTACCTTCGTCCGACGAGAATTCAAATCCCTTAGTCCCTAAGCGAAACTTTCCACCACCCCCCTTTTTGTAAAAAAAAAAAAGATTAAGCGCTATATAAATTTGCCCTTGAAATGGGCTTTTGCAATGGCACACAGCGCCGTCTATGACTCTTGCCTCCGAGTCTATACTGTAGTAGTACTATATTGCTATCACATGACTGCTGGTGTAGATTATAAGAGTAAAATTAGGGGTAGGCTTGTGAAGGCTCGTCCTCTTTCTGCTCCCCGATTGGCTGGACCTGAGTAGGGGCTGGGCTCAGCGTTTGGCGTCAATGGAAGTATCTGCAAACTGTTTCTCGGGCTGAAACGCTGCCAGCTCCCCACATGAATCTGGATCTTCTCCTTTCCAGGAGCTCTAAGTGGTTAATTTCTTTTTACAATACAGTTGATCAAAAAAGAATCATGACATTATCGTGGCAATACCATTGCTTCAGCTGTGTCGTCTCCTTTGAATCAAGTTCTTCATTCCATTTCAACGATTTAATTAAGAGTTGTTTTACGTAGTTTTATATTGCATTTTTGTTTAGTAATTTAATACTCACATTTCTTCTTATTATTATTCCGACCTGCACAATAACTTTGATGTGCGGAAATAAATGGAAACCTTACGCCTAGCAGAAAGAATTTAAGAGGGATGTTGACAATCGATAGGAGCAATGAACATTGCATGAAGTAGAACTACGTGTACTAGAAAGAACTGACCTAAAAATAAAAAAAAAATGTTAAGCAGACATTACTGCTTAAAAGTAACAAAAAACGTGAAAGATTGCTCCTTTGAAAGTTCTGACGTGACTGGATTGCACACCTCTAATGTCGGCCGTATGCGTTACAATATTTTAAGGCACCTAGAGGGAGCTCACCATTGAAATCCACTGAATGAAATAAAAAAGGACGCACAGACTGACCAACCCTTAAAAGTACTGGACGTTGCTTCACTGATCTCTTTATATCGTTTCGGTTGTGTGAATGTATAACTCTTGTAATGTTCAAGACGATGCACGTACCGTAGATATACTGTATACAGCTCCAAACACAATATTAGCACCATTTAACTAAAGCAACGCTTTACTCTAGTTTCGGTTCGTAAAATGTGGGTTTACTGAACCGTTCTTGATCTTGGTATTTAGTAGTGAAATTTGTATTGGATTTCCTTATTTCAGGTTGGGGAGCAATGATCTCTGTCATACCAGACTCGTCATAGGACGAGTAGACGTGTGTATTCACAAACTGCTAAATACAATATCAAGGAAACACAAAGTATTTCAGATGGGGTGATAGCACACGTGATTAAACTCAAACCTGAAGGGCTTTACAGTATAATCAGATCTCTTTACAGCCACAGAAGAAGACGTTATGAAGCTAATCTGTCTGAAATAAAATTGCCTGAATATGAATGGAATCTACCTAGACGTACAGTAGGTAACATACAACACTTAGACTTTGTAGTCAATTATATTTTCACCACTCTCAGGGGGACTACGGTTATGAATTCAAGAGTGACAGGAGCCAGCACTAAAGAAGTAGAACGAACTTAGGGAAGACTAAAGTGATGCTTAGTATATGTACTCTTCACAGGCAAAGGGAAATAAATGCATTAACATAGAACATATTTCAACAAGTATGTGTAATTGCTGCAGTTACACTTTAAAATATGGCCAGATGTGTGAAATAAAAAGTAGAGAAAAAACTGAGTGTTTCTGGAAGATTAATAAATGATTCTGAAAGAAAAATTCAATTGCCCTTGTGACTCAGAAGTAAAGTCCTCCACCAACGTATACTGCCTGTATTAACATTATTATGAATATAAAACTAGGACTTAAATTAGAAAAATACAGAACGTAAAGAACTTGAGAAGCATGGAACAATGTGTGCTCATAATTACAAGAGACAAAACATACATATGCTGTGAATTAAAGTAACAAAAATGTTCAGCCTCAAAGAGAGAGATTGGAATGCATGCTTAAATTTTAACCAGCACAGAATTTAAAGATGCTGTAAGAGGACAGATGAAAACTAAAAAAAAAAAAAGACTTGTTGTAAGCTCTTGTATTATAGACTTTTTAAGTTGTATTCTGCAACTGAAATTAAAAGGTAGACCAATTATTAGCCAATACATCCTCTGTAAAATGCTTATTACTCCCCAAGAATTAGAGTGTTTTAAACTGATTACAAGAATAAATAAGAAAAAAAACATGCACATTACAGTTCAGTCTTATCATAGGAAAGATAAGTCTATTAATAAGTGTATATAATCATCAGTATATTAAATGGTTTCTTATTCAAAATTGAATTTATTTGCTTAGAAAAGGTGAATATATTTCTCACACAAGAGGTCTGTGATCATTAACAAAAAGATGAGAAATCTTGACTTTATGGCCTAGTCCGGTGTTTATACTGAGAGTGGGTGAATAGGAATTAAGTCTCAGTGGTGCTTCACTGTCCAAAAGCACCATAGAAAAGAGCCTTAGAAAGAAAAAGAAAGCTGTTGAAGAATTACAAGGCAAAACATTTTGTTTTTTCTTCTGCTTTTCAGTGTTATTAACCTTTACTTGTTCCTTAACAGCTAACACATACTGAAACAGCTCTCCAGTCTAACCTAGTTGAACTGTCTATATACTGTAGTATATAACACATTTTAATAGTTGTTTTGTTTTTACTGCAGATGTACAGTACACTACCCAACATTAAAATGACCTAATACGTCATAAGTAACTAAAAACTGACTCACAAAATAACACTGACAGGAATAGATGATTCTGTCTGTATTACTAATACATCTAAATATACTGAAGCTAATAATGGATACAAATTTCTACTTGAAGGAGGATGGGATTGTAATAATCCCTGACCTATCTCTGTCTCTCTGTAAGTGCAATAAAAAGTAACATTGTTGCAACAGAGTATAAGATAAATGTGTCTACATTGCTTCTTATGAAATACAGAATACAAAAATGTGGAGGAATACCAGTGATTAGAAATAAAAAAAACAATTATTTTTCTTTTAAGAGGGCTAAAATAAAACTGAGAAGTATTCACCTTTGTCCCTAAATGTAGAAAGAACTAGAAACAAAGCATTAACAGACAATGTAATTTAATTTTATGCATTTTAAATTTCCTCCTGTTCAGCTGTGTGACAGCATCCAGCTTATATGTAAGCTTCTTTGACTCATATTATCTTTATCCATCGATAAATTCACTACATTACGAAGTTAATATTTAGAGAACAGCTTGATAATACCCTGTTAGAACCTTGTCCATAAAGTTACCGAATTTCATTTACGGGATTGTTGCCCATCTGTATTACAGAATGTTAGACAGGACCAGCACAGGACCAGGATTCCTTTTCACAGAAATATTAAATTCCAGTCCTTTAAAAGCATGGTCCCGTAGGATTCAAATAGGATTTAAAGGCAATTTAAAATTCTCGTCTACCAAAACCTTTGAAAGAATTTTAATGCATGCCAGTAGCAAACTGACTAATAAGTCATTAAAAATCCCACGGCTCTTTAGGGCAAAGGGAAATTACTATTATTAACTTATACTCAGAGAACAAACAAAGATGCACAAAAGCCAATAACTGGGAAATTGAAGACTTACTGTGTCTTGGTGACATGGGAATGGTTAAAGCTGTCTCGCTCCTACTCATGTTTCTATGAAGCATTCCAGAGGTCCTTAACTTCTAATGCACACCAAACACAAAGGTAGTCCACCGGCTGTGACATCACATGTTTAATGCTGGTTAGAAAAGCATCGGATCTGAATACCTCTAACTATAAGTCTGTACAACAGGTAATTTTCCACTCCAGAAAGTCAAAGGCAGCTGGTCTCATCAGTACAATTTTTACCCGTGTTATTACACTGCATAAAACATAAGATATGAAATATCCAATAATGAGAACAACTGTACTACTGTATGTACACAATGTTCTAGAGAAATAAATATACAACCTTCACAAATAATAAAGCATGATAAGTGCCTGTTCTTATGAAAAATTATGCAACTTTTTTTCTTTTTTATTCTTGTTTAATTCCGCTAGTCCTACAATATATATACTAACATATAATGTTTCTTTATATATGTTTTGCCAGTATTAAGATTTTGTTTTCCTGCAAAACAACGGAGCAGGGATTCAGATGACAGCTCGGTTATCAAGAATGTAATTAAGACTGTAATCTCCAAAAGGAATGTTAGTGATTTAAAACAACAATTGTTAGATACAGTAGGTTTGTCACTCAAAATATATATATATAATATATATTTCTAAAATTACTCAAAACTGTTGTGCCAACCTTTACATCCGATAGCTTTTCATGATATGGTAGACTACCATGGTAAATGACATTTAGGAAAAGAAAGCATTCAATTACATTTTTCAACAAACCAAGTGCAGTAATTAAAAAAGGGATGCTACGGTCTATTTGACCCTAAAGATAGCTTCTCATTTCTGTTAATTTTTTATATAAGGTTGAGATCTAGATAGACTGTAGAGATGATTGTTTCTATGATCATACTGAAGCTTATTTGCTTGCTTTCTTACTACAAAAGGAATGGAGGCATTGCTAAGCAAAATTTGTGCACAATGCTCTTTCCAATGTTTGTTTTTAATAAAAGGAAGTTTGCTTTTAATAACTGATAGATGTTTGCTTTGGTGTTGCTGGAAAAGGTTCAAACAGCCTATGGAAGATTAAGTCCGTGTTTATCGCACATGCTGCCCCACCCCAGACAAGTGCCTCTGGTTGACATTCATTTGCTTTGGAACAGGTAATGGTTTATTCCATGCTGGAAGACTCAATGTTTCGGCTGTGGAGCCTTCTTCAGGCCTGTAAAGGCTCCACAGCTGAAACAATGTGTCCCTTTTCCTTTCCTTTCAGCGTGGAATAAACCTTTGCAGCCTACGCATACGGATGCAGCTACCTACTTGAATTTATTCATTTGCTTTTAAGAGAGAGCAGAGGAACTTACAGTAAAATTCCAGCTGGGATCAAAACCTCCATAAAAACTTAATCCTTCCACGCATTTTCTAAGCACTTTATACAGGGTCAGGTCTGAACTTATACTGGCAAGCAACAGGCGCAAGGCAGGGATTCCAGTCCATCACAGGGCACATACAGACATGCACACACTCATATCAGGGC